TTACTTATTACATTATTATTTATTTATTGAATTGTTATTATTTATTAATGGGTACCATCAAATACCATGCATCGCCAAAGGAAGGGAATAATATCTTTGAAGCATCCTATCCTGTGAAAAGGGTATAAAACTTTATGTTCCTGGAGATTTTCACTGACCAAGGACGAAGACTGGTGATGAACCATTGCAGTGATGGGCGCTGGATCACTTGCCAACTTTCTTCTATCTCTGATCGTCCGTTACCCTATTTTAGAAAGTCAGACAGGCATGTTTATTTCCCAGGCTCTCTGAGGAGCTCCCTGCCTGTGAGACTGTGCTCAGCTGGCTGGGAGCACTTGGAACCCCAGGTTGGGCAGGAGCTGCTGCTGGGTGGCTGTGAGCTTTTAGAGGTCACCGTAGATGACTACCACGGCCAGGTGGCCTTTTGCTAGACTTTGTTTTCATTGTTTGTCATCGTTTGCCTTCCTTCCCCTTTCCTTTTTCTGCATCTAGACTGCTTGACTAATGTTGTAACGTGTCTCTTTCTTCTAGAATTCTGAAGGTGGACTCTATGTATGCATGAATACATTTTTGGCCTTTGGAAGGGAACACGTAGAAAGACATTTTCGGAAAACTGGACAGAGTGTCTACATGCACCTGAAAAGACACGTGCGAGAGGTGAGGTACACGCTTCGGGAGAACTGGCCTTGACACCTTCTCTGTAATGTGGTCTTAGTTGGTGGGGTTCGTCCCATGGAGAATTTACTATGCCCACGTAACTTCTCATTCTCTTGGATGATGGGAAAGAAAGATAGCACTGTTGGCAGAGATTCATAGGTTTCCCAAACGTTATCTTAGCTAGTTTTATATTTCTCTTCCTCTGAACTTCTGATTAGAATTGTTCAGAAAGACATGGATTGGCTGATTGAAAAAAAAAATCAAGTCTAAAAGTACAGAAAATAATGCCAGAAACACTCATGGATACAAAAATCAGAAACAAAAAACATTTGGATATTTTTGCTTCATGTTCTGCTTCTTTTTTTAAGCTGGAGAAAGAGCTTTCCTAAAAGTTCAAGTCTCTTTTGGTCCCCTCCCTCTGCAGAAGTAACCGCTGTTGTGAATTCGTTGTTTCTCATTCCCGTGCATGTCATTATATTTTATTTAGCTATATGGGTATTCATGAACAGTGTATAGTATGGCTTCATGTGTTTTAAAGATGTCGATAAGCATCATGTTGTTACCTCTAATTCTCCGTGGAGCTTTCCCCTGCAGCAGAATCTATCCATGCTGCAGTGCATCTGGATGTATTTAATTCATTTCTGTAGTTGTTTGGTGTTCCACCTTGTTATCTGTTATTCTATTCATTTAGATTGTTTCCATTTCTTTTGCTTCTGCAAACAACGTATTGAATAATATTTTTATACATTTCTCCTGGGGAAACATGTACAAGAATTCTTTCAGAAATACACCTACAAGTGGAAATATCAGCTCAGGAGTGAGCTTATCTTCATTTTTCCTAGATATTGCCAAGTCCTCCCCAGAGTGGTTGCACCAGTTTATATGTCAATCTGCAGTGATTTTGAGTGCGTTTCCCCACACCCTCACCAACGCTTGATCAGACTTGATTTTTGCCAATCTAATGATTGTTGAAGTGGCATCTAAACATTTGGCATTTCCTTGAGGAGATTTCTATGTTTGTCTGTGAGTCTGTTTCTGTTTCGTAAATAAGTTCTCTTGTGTCATATTTTAGATTTCATCTATAATTGATACCCTGTGGTATTTGTTTTTCTCTTTCTGGCTTATTTCACTTAGTATGATAGTCTCTAGTCCATTCATGTTGCTACAAATGGCATTATCTCATTCTTTTTTGTAGCTGAGTAATGTCCCATTGTATATAAATACACCACATCTTCTTTTTCCAGTCATCTGCTGATGGACATTTAGGTTGCTTCCATGTCTTGAGTAATGTAAGCAATGCTGCTACAAACTCTAACTTTTTGAATTAGAGTTTTCGTCATTTCTACATATGTGCCCAGGAGTAGGATTGCTGGATCATATGTCACCTTTATTTTTAGTTTAAAAAAAAACTCCATACTGTTTTCCATAGTGGCTAAACCAATTTACATTTCCAACAACAGTGTAGGAAGGTTCCTTTTTCTCCACACCCTCTCTGGCATTTGTAATTTGTAGACTTTTTAATGATGGCCATTCTGACTGGTGTGAGGTGGTACCTCACTGTAGTTTTGATTTGCATTTCTCTTTAATTAGCGAAGTTGAGCATCTTTTCATGTCCTTATTGGCCATCTCTATGTCTTTATTGGAGAAATATCTAGTTAGGTCTTCTGCACATTTTTTGATGGAGTTGTTTGATTTTTTTGTTATTGAGCTGTATAAGCTATTTGTATATTTTGGAAATTAAGCCCTTGTCAGTCTCATCATTTGCAAATATTTTATCCCAGTCCTTAGGTTGTCTTTTTGTTTTGTTTATGGTTTCCTTTGCTGTGCAAAAGCTTATAAGTTTGATTAGGTCCCATCTGTTTATTTTTGCTTTTATTTCTATTGCCTCGAGAGACTCACCTAAGAATATGTTGCTGTGATTTATGTCAGAGAATGTTTTGCCTATGTTTTCTTCCAGGAGTTTAATGGTGTCATGTCTTATATTTAAGTCTTTAAGCCAATTTGAGCTTATTTTTGTCTGTAGTATGAGGGAGTGTTCTAACTTCATTGATTTACATGTGGCTGTCCAGCTTACCCAACACGACCTGCTGAAGAGACTTGTCTTTTCTCTATTGTATATTCTTGCCTCCTTTGTTAAAGATTAAAGGACCATAGGTGATTGAGTTTATTTTTAGGCTCTCTATTCTGTTCCATTGATGAATATGTATGTTTCTGTGCCAATATCACACTGTTTTGATTATTGTAGCTTTATAGTATTGTCTGAAGTCTGGGAGAACTATGCCTCCAGCTTTGTTTTTTTTCTTCAGAATTGCTTTGGCAATTCTGGGTCTTTTGTGGTTCCATATAAGTTTTAGGATTATTTGTCCTAGTTCTGTGAAAAATGTCCTGGGTAATTTGATAGGATCATGCTAAATCTGTAGATTGCTTTGGGTAGTGTGGCCATTTTAACAATAATTTTTCCAGTCCAAGAGTATGGAGTATTTTTCCATTTCTTTGCATCACCTTCAGTTTCCTTTATCAGTGTTTTATATTTCTCAGCATATAAGTCTTTCATCTCCTTGGTCAGGTTTATTCTTTAGTATTTTCTTTTTTTTGATGAGATTTTGAAAGGAATTTTTTTTAACTTTCCCTTCTGATGTTTCATTGTTAGTGTAAAAAAATGGAACAGATTTCTGTAAGTTAATATTGTGTCCTGCTACCTTGCTGAATTCATTTATCAGCTCTAGTAGCTTTAGGGTTCTCTATATAGTATTATATTATCTGCATATAATGATAATTTTACCTCTTCTCTTCTAATTTGTATCCCTTTTATTTCTTTTTATTATCTGATTGCTGTGGTTAAGACCTCCAATACTACGTTGAATAGAAGTGGTAAGAGTGGGCATCCTTGTCTTGTTCCAGATTTTAGTGGGCAGGCTTTCTGCTTTTCACCATTGAGTATTACGTTGACTGTGGGTTTGTCATAAATAGCTTTTATTATGTTGAGATACGTTCCCTTTGTACCTACTTTGGTAAGAGTTTTTATCATGAATGGATGTTGAATTTATCAAATGCTTTTTCTTATCTATTGAGATGATCATGTGGTTTTTGTCCTTTCTTTGTTGATGTGGTGTATCACATTAGTTGATTTGCGTATGTTGAACCATCCTTGTGTCTCTTGGATTAATCCAACTTGATCGTATTGTATGATCTTTTTTATATGTTGTTGTATTTGGTTTGCTGATATTTTGTTGAGAATTTTTGCATGTATCTTCATCAAAGATACTGGCCTGTAATTTTCTTTTTTGGTAGTGTCTGTCTACTTTGGTATCAGGGTGTGATAGTGGCGTCATATAATGACTTTGAAAGTGTTCCCTCTGCAGTCTTTTGGAAGAGTTTGAGAAGGATCCGTGTAAGTTCTTCACTGTATGTTTGGTAGAATTCCCCAAGGAAGCCATCCAGTCCTGCACTTTTATTTGCAGGAAGATTTTTTGAAATTATGGATTCTATTTCACTTCTAGTTATTGGTCTGTTCAAATTATCTATTTCTTCTTGATTCAGTTTTTGGTGGGCTGTACATTTTTAGAAACTTGTCCATTTCTTCTAGGTTGTCCAATTTGTTGGCATATAATTGTCCATAGTATTCTTTTATAGTTTTTTGTATTTCTGTGGTATTGTTTATTATTTCTCTGCTTTCATTTCTTCTTTTGTTTATTTGGGTCCTCTGTGTTTTCTTCTTAGTGAGCCTGGCTAGAGGTTTGTAGATTTTGTTTATCCTTTCAGAGAACTAGTTCTTAGTTTTACTGTTTTTTTTTTTTGCTTTGTTTTGTTTTGTTTTTTAAGTCTCTATTTTATTATTTCCTCTCTGATCTTTATTATTTCCTTCCTTCTGCTGACTTCAGGTTTGTTCTTCTTTTTCTAACTCTTTTAGATGGTGGATTTTTTATTTGAAGTTTTTTCTTTTCTTTTTTTTTTTGAGGAAGGCCTGTATCACCTGCATTGCTATGTTCCCTCTAAGAACTGCTTTTGGTGTATCCCATAAATTTCGTATGGTTGTGTTTCCATTGTTATTTGTCTCAAGGTATTTTTAAAATTTCCTCTTTTATTTCATCATTTACCCATTGGTTTCTTAGTATCACACTGTTTAGTCTCCATGTAATTGATTTTTTCCTCGTTTCTCTTTCTGTGGTTGATTTTCAGTTTCATGCTGTTGTGGTCAGCAAAGATGCTTGAAATAATTTCTATCCTCTTAATTTGTTAAGGCTTGTTTTGTGTCCTAGTATGTGGTTCATCATAGAGGATGTTCCATGTGCACCTGAAAAGAATGTGCATTCTGTTTCTTTTGGATGTAATGTCTTGAAAATATCAATTAAGTCTAACTGTTCTATTGTATCATTTAGGATCTCTGTTGCCTTTTTGATTTTCTGTCTGGGAGATCTGTCCATTAATATGAGTGAGGTGTTAATGTCTCCTATTTTTTTATTCTCATCAATTTCTTCTTTTAGGTCCATTAATATTTGTTTTATGTATTTATGTGCTTCTATATTGTGTGCCTATATGTTAACAAGTGCAATATCTTTTTGTATTGATCCTTTTTTCATATATGTCCTTCTTTATGGCCCTTGTTTTTTTTTTAATTCTTATTTTTTATTGAAGTATAGTTGATTTACAATATTAGTTTCAGGTGTACAGCAAAGCGATTCAGTTATACATATACATACATATATATGTATATTTTTTTAGATTCTTTTCCATTACAGCTCATTATAAGAAATTGAATATAGTTCCCTACCTATACAATAGGTCCTTGTAGTTTATCTATTTTGTATATAGTAAAGTGTATCTATTAATCCAAACCTCCTAATCTGTCCCTCCTCCCTCTTTTCCCCCCTGGTAGCCACAGTTTGTTTTATATGTCTGTGAGTCTATTTCTGGTTTGTAAATAAAATTTGTAATTTTTTTTTAGATTCCACATATAAGTGACATCATATGATATTTGTGTTTCTTTGTCTGACTTACTT